CTCCTCCTGTGAAGGGTACCCCCCACTGCACTGAAAGTCAGCTGTGACTCTGTGTACTGTGGAGTTTTAAAGTAGAAAAGTTTCATATTTGTAAAAGTTTCCCAGAGCCCAGAAAATCAAGACCAAGTTGGAATTCAGCTTCTGCAGACCAAGATGTTAAAGCTTAGTTTCTGATCCATCATTCAAGCCCCTCGGGGAGGCATCGCATTGGTCTGCAGCCTGACAGAGCCCAGACCACCACCAGTATGTCCAGAGCCCCGAGGTCCAACCCCCACAGAGCCCTGGTCCCAGCATCATGGGGTCGCTCTGTGGTCACACACAGACTACCGCTCCAACAAAGGTCGACTGGACCCGAGGAACTTGCCGTTACATTAAGAAGTATGGTGCATGTACTGCCAAGTACATTTACTCAAGCAGTGTACTTAAGGACAGCTTTGAAGTAGTTGTACTTTACTTGAGTATTTCCATTTTATGATACTTTTTACTGTTAATCCACTACATTTATCTGACAGCTGCAGTTACTTTGCAGCGCAGATTAATACAGAAAATAATCAACAAATAAATGATGACACATTATCAAAGATGAAGGTGAAACTCTGACGGCACCACGGTAGAAAACGTTGGTAATATTTGCACCATCTTTACCATCGCCTCAGTGTATCGATCATCATAATCCAATAACATGATGGACACTACTGTGAAAATGAGCCTTTCTACATAATAAGTGTATATTTTGCTGATAGTGCTTTAATACTTCACATTTTGAATGCAGAACTTTACCTCGTAACACAGTATTTCTACTCTGTGGTACTACTAATTTTACTTCCACTCCTGACCTAAATACTACAATATGTAAAACACAGGAAAAACAGCCCACAGTGTGTACTATGATGTGACCAGTTACACATATCAGTGAAAAACCCTCTTCATGTTTTTAATTCACTCATTCAACTTGAAAGTATCAGTCAGAGCCGGATCTACTGCCGCCGCCAACCAGTCAGGTTCACAGGAACAAGACAGACGTGATGTCACTGTGACCTCTGATTTTCAGCCACCAAAACATGACCAGTTCATCCTTGAGTCCATGTGGACACTTGTGCCACAATTGAAGAAATTCACATCTGCCTGCGGCCGACGTGGAGGGAGGCGCTGGCAGGTTGTTGTTTCCAGATGCTCCTCAGAGTAAAGTCCAAACATGAGTGTTACCTGAGGACTCTATGGAGTGAAACACACTGCTGGCGCACAGGTTTGTGAACTATGAAACCAAAACATGAATATGTAGCCTAGTCCAGGTATGAACAGCAGAGAATTGAAATACCCAAGTAAAATTCAGATACCTCAGAATACATTCATACTCAGTTACTTTGCAGCACTGGGTGTGTGTCGCAGTTCAATTTCTCTGCTTACGGTCGTTTGCAGTGACAGTACATGAGATTGCTGGTGGCAGGAACATTCCGTCTATAGTGTGTCTCTGCTCAAACGAAGATGAGGACGGGCGTGGCTGATATGAACAATCCCCCTGCATCACACACACACACCTAGTGCAAACACCAGTGTATGCAACTCACATGAGCCTACAGAAGGCAGCAAAACAAATGCTCTGAAATGCCAGAAGAAAGACCAGAACACCCTGGAACCCGAGGTTCTGTCTGTGGAGACACGTGAGCCAAACTGCCTCTGTGGAGAAAATCCTCCTACTGTTACTACAAACATCTGGCCGCACATAGGCGGGCATCTTATAGCGAAACACCGGCACAGGAGAGAAGATATCAGGGCACATTATAAAGTTATTATGAGCTGAGCTTTTGAGTTTCAAATATCACAAACAGGCATCTCAAGTGAAACGAGGAAAGTATCACTGTAGAATACAGTAGAATTCCTGTGAGCTGAATCCCACCGACTCAGACAGGAGCTGAATGTACCATAACAACAAGAAAAACACAGGCTGTCAGAGGAATATTTAAAAAGCCACAAACCACCACGGTGCCACCCTCTACTGACTCGCTCACTCGCTACAGTGTTTATCAGGAGCAACTAATAGTTTATCACTCATGTTTGATGCATCAGTCAGAGGCCGTTTAAACAAAGCTGTGGGACTGTGAAAGTTTGACCTGCGGTTAATCGTCTCTTTGCTAATGATTCAGTTAGAAATGTTGGTCATCCACTCATAAGGCTGGTGTGTGCAGGTGTGAGCATTAATAAGCTGTTAATGCATGGATTTAGGTCGAGGCTGGCATCATCTCTGTGAATAGGGATCTCCTATTAAACAGTGAATGAACAGAGATGAATGAACGAATGAATAAGTGAATGAGTGAATGAAGGGATGGATGCTGCTGTGGGCTCACCACACTGTTCTGACACCATGAAGCCATTTCACCCAGCCACAAAACGCCTGAACATCCTCAGACATAAAGACAATGCAGCTCCAGTCATTTCACTATCGAATCTTCAGACCCTAACGTCCACCACAAAAACAGATTCTTTTTAGATCATTAATTCTGATGAAATCTGAATAAGCTCTGCTTAAACTTTCAATCTTTGCTCTTTTCCAAGCTGCTCAAAGAGACTCCGAGTTTGACATCATGTGAATATTCCAGGGTTTTGTTGAGACACTGAGGTGATATTTGTTGCAGGAGAAAACGAGCCTCACTTTGTGCTTCTCCCAAACCCCACAGCTCACACAGCGCGTCAGCAGGAGGAACGGGCACAGACCTGGCTCCCGGACCAGACCGCGCTCGGGTCCCCACTTTCATACACATCTAGAAGTACATGAAGTCAAACGAGGACACATAAAGCTGCTGTTAGATCATGAAATCCCCGGAGCAGCAGTGAGTCCAAAGACAGTGCGGGAATGTTGTGGGGCGCGTTACAATGCTGTCAGATTGGTAACGGCTCCACAAAACAGAGTGAGGTCCATGTGAAAGCACGACAGCAGAAGAAGACAAGAGGAAGAAGAGACAGTACCAGACGCTCAGGAGGAAAGCAGCGTGTGGCAGTGTCTGTGCTCTTTACCTGGTCACAGGTGCATGAAGAAGCAGCTCCACAGTGAGAGAAGCATCAGAAAGTTCGCTGGTTCAGCTCAGACGCACTGACCTGAGACCGGCTCCACGCTGACGGATACACAGCTTCATCCTTCTCCTCCTCTGGTGGCAGGAGAACCTCTACAGCCCCCCGCCGCCCATCCC